GAGGGACCTGGGGCTACAAGGTTGCCAAAATAAACTTCCAGTTGATGTAATTGTGTGCGTGTCTCTCAAGGTTAGTCGCGTACGTGTTAATTTGCCAGAATTTCCTCGCTATTTTCATTGCTTAATTTTCTAATGGCTACAAATACCATACTTGATGATATCCCAACTTATTGTGTGCTCGATTTTCTGTGACAAATCCTTCAGTCAATTGAGAAGGGAGTTGGAAGTCTGCAATGCGTCCACCATCTTGGAAGTTTCAGGTAGGCTAAATTTATTGAAGAACTTGAATCGGTCCCACTGATAGTTCTGGGCTTTTTTCAATTTTCATTTTCCCGTTGATTTTATAGGGGGTCAGTAGGGGGGTCAGGAGGGGGCAGTAGGGGGTCAGTGTTTTGTCGAAACCCGATTTACCGAAGTTCTGTTTGCGGTGGTTAATACTTCGATTTTTAGGATTGTTTAAATTCAATTTTATTGCTGAAAACAATGGTTTCACGATTCAAAAGAGGGTTCAAAGGACAGGCAAACTTATGCAAATTCACTCCGTTACGGACCAAAAATAATCTGGGAACTATTGACACTTTACTCATCGATTACTCAAGCACTTTCACCAACGTCTTGATTTGAGAATAAAAACAATGTTTCTATTCAGTTTCTTCATTTGCGATGATAGCATTGGGTCTTGCGAAGCAAGTTTCCACTTAAAAGCTGTCGTTCATATTTACGCAAAGTCAACACGCTGCAATGAAATAATTAAAGCGCCCGCCAAACTCGAGTTTTGGCGAACGTCTTTGACATTCGTTTTTCATCACTTTCATTGAAGTTTTTCGCTTGTAAGTTAAAGTTGGCTCCCTTGAAGCGGCGTGTAAAACAAGAGCCCGCAAAACCAAATGCTCTCGTGGGGCAAAAGTCACCGCGTCGCAAGAAATTAATTGTTTTCTCGCAAGCGAACAGCTTGTAATTTATTCCAAAATATACGCTTCAATGGTTCTCGTGAGACAAGACTCTCGTCTCTCGAGACGAGACTCTCGTCTCATGAGGCGAGACTCTCGTCTTGCTAGACAAGAGTCTCGTCTCGCGAGAAACGAGACAAGAGGTGGTAACTTACTTTTGAGCGGTACTGAAGCTACTCAGGTGTAACATTACATAATGAAATGACACAGCAGCTAATTTACAGGTATTCCAAAAGGCAGAAAATTCCCAGCAGTCAAATGCAATGAAATATTTCATTTGCTGCAACTACTTTGTACATGTTGATTGCAAAGCATGGTCAATATAATTTTGACAACGAGTAGTTTATATTTAAAGTACAAACTTAAGATGTAAATTTTACAGCACTAGAAAAGCGAGTTATACCCTATAATAATAAACTCTTTTTAATCAAGGCCAGGGTCTTACTTTGTCATGAGGCACTTGGGCAAATACATATCTAAGGCCTCTTTGCTTTGTGCTCAACGACTTGAATGATTTAAGTATGCTTAATTTTGTCGTTATCTCGGGTGCATGCTGGACAAAATTCACAACACACATACTCGCATAACAATAAAACACACTCACCTTAACAGTCCTAACTCGCAGACTTTGGGTACGTTCTCCAAAGACAAAACTGATAGCATCCATCAAATTTGACTTCCCTATTAACAGAGGTGGTCTAATTTTATGAAAAGGGCTAAGATTTCAAATAAAAACCAAGGGATTTCTTCAGAACCTACAGCTAATTTTGATGGCCTTGTGTACGAATATCAAAACAAGGCGCATCCCGTAAGGGGAATCTCCAAGTTTACTCAACAGATGACATATCATTTTTTTGTATACGTAGTGTCACTATTTATTACGTAACTAAGTAAGAAGGGTCAATACCTAACATCAACCAATCAGATTGCTAGGCAGATTGCTGGCACTGTTTCAAATGATCACTCAGGACCACTCTTGATGGGTTAGAGGTTTGCTCTTCTAAAAGAACTAACTGACACATAAAAGATTGGTTTTCTTTTTAGGACCTGCAAGCTACATAAACATTACGCTGGCTCTTTATTAACAAACTATTGCAAATATACCATGATGGCTTAGCCAATGAAAACTCTTGAATTTCATTATCCAATAATTCAGTTTTAAATGATAAATGATAATGAATTCCCAATTGAAATTTATTTCCCAGACACCATGGTCTGCAGTCACACAGTCGATCAGAAAAATAGGTCCACAATGCGTACTTGTGGTCTTATGCCTACAGTACTGCTCAGAACTAAGCGAACATCGAACACATGTTCTTAACACGAAGGATTAAACATGCGCATTTTGCTGCATTAGACTGCACGTTTGGACTCTGCGTTATAACACATTAAAGTAATTGCATTAGTATGTATGAACTTGGTTATTGTTCACTTCTTTCGTTACTGTGTGAAAGGAAGTTAACGACCTTTTCTAAAGATAACATTCGGTACGCATATGATGTGTTTTCAAGGAGCAGATAAGTTCTGATTCTTGAGTAGCGGCTGAATATAACGGCAGTTACATACAGACCATTTTGTTTTGTCTGTTTGGATTCATCCAACTTACGAATAAAATGATCTGCATTTCGAAAAATCAAAATAAAGATAACCGGCTTTCAAACGGCGCTGTGAAAAAAAACAACAGACAACATCGCAAATTTTTTATTTCTCTAAAGATCTTAAAAGATCGTTATCGTGTCTAAACACCGGGCAGCCGGGAAGTGTTTTCAAAAACCTAGATACCCAGCAGTCTGAAATTAATTTATTATAGAATTTTAACACAAAAAGTAATTCAATTCTTCTGAAACAGTAGATCTTTGTTTAGAAATGTCGAGCAATTTCAAGTATTATTTTCACTTTGTATTTGAGGAAATCTTCGAGCTTGGGCATACTATAAAATCTCAAGGTTTCGACACTAGTTCTCTGAATCTGGACTCAACTCTCATAGACTCAAGTACACACAAATTACAGTTTAACCCTTCTAAGAATACTCAATATTTGTTTACAGTCAAACCAAATGAAGCATACCCCTCCAAATGAATTGATTATTTGAATATTGAACCCATTAGTCATTTCAAGAATGCAATAATGAATTGATTATTGGAAAATAGAACCCACTAGTCATTCCAAGAATACGACTAATGGGTTTGATGTTACAAAAAAATCAATTTAATATTGATTTTTGAAATGACTAGCGAGTTCAATATTCAAATAATCAATTCATTATTGCATTCTTGAAACGACTAGCAGGTTCAAATATATATTATATTCAAATAATCAATTCATTAATGTAATCTTGAGGGGTAGGCTTCACTTGGTTTGACTGTAAATGCCAAGCAAAATACTGTCTTGGTTTTATATCGGATGAACCCTCTTAGCTTCGGCATACTATAAAAATCTCGACTCACGGTCAATGTTGTTCAAAAAACTTGACACAATGTTTGTTTTAATTCACACAACATTGCTTAAGTCATTCATTTGCGAAAATATGTCCTGTAGTTTCAAATAAAACAATATTATAAGAAGTAGCCTGAATAGCGCTTTCAAACGATGTGGTTGGATCAAACTTTTTTTGGCCGACAGTAGAAAAGACAGTTGATGAGACAGACAAATGTTTACTTCTATCGTTCCAGCCGTTATCAACGTCCATGATATTCGCACAAACTATGGAATCGTTACATACACGATTTGTTTTCATCCATTCCATCGCAGACAAGATATTTCATCCTTTCGGAACAAAAAAGCCCATCAGTTCAAACTTGAGGACCCTTGGGTTTCCGCAACCGTTGAGGAAGACAATAGCTAATTAGCCCGCAAAATGCCTCATAAACAAGTTATTTTAAGATGAAAATCTCAAGTAAGAACTTGGCGCATCATTGACAGCAACGCAACAATGACATTGCTTTCTCTGAAAAAAACATTTCATCGTTTGAAGGAACTTTTTACTGCCAGTGGAACTTGTTTGATCGTAATTGATGTTCATGGTCATCTACAGCTACTTCTATTCCTTTTGCCTTATGCAAATTTGGTCACATGCATATGTACAGGTGCACACTATCTTCCTAATTCGTTTTGTTTGCCTACAATTTCCTCAACTCAAACAAACAAATGTTCCATTGACAAAAAATCTGATTAAGCGTTCTCACTCAACTGATTGTGGCGTGTTTTTAACCAAGCAACATGTTTCAGCAACCAGGTTGTTAATGCTTGTTCATGTTTAGCGTGCATGCATAACTTTTCAGTTCGCAAGTCAATGGTCACTTGCATAATTTTCGGGTAAAAAATAATTGTGCTTTAATATTTTCTCTGAGCAGGGTAGATAGGGGCACTAACTTAAAAAAATGACCTAATTCTGATGGTCAACACTATTGTAACATTGGTGGCTCCTAAAGGAGCCATTTGTTTTATTGAGGTGTTTAATAGCCTGAAGTTCTGCCCTCACGGTGGACAACAGCAGGGATGACCTTCTGCAGGTGGCCAATGTATTGCTGGCACTTCTCAGCAGTCAAAGAGTCCCAGAACTTCTCGATGCCAGCGACAAGCTCCCGTTTATTCATCGGAAATATCAAGGCATCAAATATCTCTTGTAAATGTAAAATTATTGGCCTTAGATGCAGTGTAAACACCACAGTGGACGTCATAATTTTCATTCAAAAGGCTGCTATTACTGCTTGAACTGAATGGAACCGATCACCATTTAATAAGCTTTAACTTTAATTCCTTGGTGATTTACCTTAGAAGGCATAACAAGGTTTTTTCCTCCTTGCGTATTTCACAGACTTACAACTTTCTCCAGTTAGGTTGCGTATCAGGTGCCGGGTTAAGTGAAATCATCTAGCTTTCAATCTGTTGTTCATTTTGTCACGATTCACATAATTCCTATCAATACATGTATGTCATTATTTCCATCCAATACAGCGAAATTTTCGCTCACAATAAATGCCTCAATGGGTTTCAGAACAGAGTTATGTCTTCACAAGGCAACTGAGTTTTCATCAGCAGAGACAGATGTCTCCTAGATCTAGACTAGCAGATGTCTCCTAGCTTAAAATTCACCATCTTTATTAACTTATCACAACTCACGATGACTTTGATAGTGTTGATCCTAGCAGTATGCAGGACACCTGTCATACAAGAACTCAGTTAAATGACCTTGCTCTCCATGAGTTCTCGTAGCTCAGTGGATAGAGCGCCCGCCCGGTGTTCGGGAGGTCATGGGTTCGATTCCTGTCGGGGACTCAGAATTTTTCTTTGTCCCATGCTTGTGTCATGTTGATTAATTCACCTTCACAGATGTCTCCTAGTTCCAAACTAGCTGGAAGACGATTTTGTCTTCCTACGGTATGAGGAACAGTCAAGACGGTGAACCAACAATCCATGATTAAAACTTGTGCCGCATAATGCAGCAACATCAAGGCCCCTTATTTCAGTGGTAGCGTTACAAAGCGGTTCTGCAAACGGTCAAATTTTCAACTGCGCCTGTTAATTCGCTGGTTTTTATTATTATTTGAATTTCACTTTGTGTGGATTTACAAATCACGCATTTGTTTTGAACTGAAGTCGTGCTTTGTTCACCATAACAAAGCATCACAAAAGGAATATTGGTTATGAATAACAAAGGCTAACGCACTGGCAAAAACACATGGCCCTATCGCATTGCCAAAAATGCGTGGGACATTTTAACACGTTAGGGGTTTGTTGAGAACACATGTTTTATGTTCGCTTAGTTCTGAGCAGTACTGTTGTTTTATTCCATTCAGTTGGAGTGTTGTTTTTAAATACATGTCAGTATCTGAGAGTTGAATTGCTACAAGTGAGAAGGTACAAAAGTTGTCATAAATTTTAAGCGGGAAAGTTTTGGCAGAACACTGTTTACTTACTTATTTTATCCTCTAGTAATAATGATTTATTTAGCTCTTAGTCCCTGTGGGACATAACACAACAATGTCTCAATTTAGCCCTGTTCTGGGCAGCATGTTGTGCCTTGTCCTATGTGAAACAGAGTTTTAACTCTCTGAATTCGACACTGTTTACACACGTCGAGCGAACTTATACATGTAGTGTCAAGATGTTTTGCTTTTTAAATGCATAACAACATCAACAACTGAGTCCCGCAGGGTTGTCAGTTGGTTTTTGAGTAGCACGTTCATTCCAAAAAGTACGCGGCTAAGGTTTGCGTGACACAGCACAAATTGAACAGCAATCATTAATTTACAGATAATCTTTAAGCTTGTTTCGGTGGAACACTGAGCTGTTTTGATCATTACAACTGTAATGAGTCACTGTCAAACCTGACTCAAGCGTCGTTTCTCGTGGAATGAAAACTTACAGCGAAAGCAGAATTGAACTGCAAAATTACAAATCTTAAAGAAAATGCTGGATAAGTCAAGTCAGGTTTTGTCATCAGAGCAGCCCTGTGAGGCGAAAAGCTTGGATGTTGCTTCAAATATTGCAGGAGTTGAAAAACTACGCTCAGAAAACTTGCGGTTGCGGTCAACCTGGAGGCCATTCGATTCAAGTTTTGAATGAAAGGAACGTTAGTGATGGTGGAAATTTGTGTCCTCTGTG